TATACCTTTCCCAGCATTACTGTCGAAAGGCCTCTAGCAGCATCACAAGCTATTGCCAAAACTCCTTAGCTACATACCTCCCACAGTTTGAAGAAAGAGCCTCGAAAGTGTGAGTTGTTGGACTTTTTCCCTCATATAAAGTGAGTTGTTCGTAGAAAGTAAAGAAGCAAAAGGATGCAGATCAGATAGCAAACGCAGAAGTAACTTTAAAGCTTATAAGGATGCTGCAACGTTGAAATTTTTCGATAGGCGGAGTCGATTAGTTTTTAGGTCTAGGACCAAGCAGCTCACAATATGGGAGAAACGAGGAAAAATTGGTTTCTTCTTTGCGATTTTATCAAAGACAACCATATTTCAAAAGTGGTGATTTTAAGAAGAGAAACAGGAAAAGAATTAATTTCGAAAATGCAAAGCTTTGTATTTACTTAGTCGAAATGCATATCAAAGCCAAGTAATCTCGAGTCATTTGTAACTTTAATATGTGAGATTGCACACTAAGCCCTGTTAGCGACGGCACCTTTACTGGTAACTTTCCAGTGAAACATTTTCTAGCCTAACAAATTGTAGAAATGAGTTCTATTGACTATTATGTAATCAACAAAAACAAAAGAGACAAAGAAAAAAGCAGAAATCACTGGAAATGAGCAGACTCAAGTTTTACTGTTCGTCAGTTAGCGTGTTTAGTGTGCACTACGCATAATAAGTTACGAGTGACTCGACGATACGTGAACCAAATAAAAAATGGCTCAAATGGAAGAAGACGTATAAGGAAAGATTTTGATATCATGGTAGTCAAACTCTCAAGTCGGATTTTGAATCACATTATGGATTAAACCCCAATGACTTCATTTTTTCCACCGCTCATAACTTGCAGAGAACGGCATCGCAGATATGAAAGGTAGAGATTTGGAATCAACTTATCAAGATGCATCCAACGATGTGCAGTTCATTCCAATTCGCCACCTTAAAAGCAGTGTCCCGGCAAATTGCATCTTTTGCATAATTTGAGCCTTCTCGACCCGTAGACTCCGGATTTGAGCTTTGAACAAGTGAAAAAACTTTTTCGGGACCTTTACCCAATTTTCGAAAGGCAGCCGGACGAGAATTTCAATGAAAAGTTGGGGGGGGGGAGGCCCTGACACGACGATCTTGCTGCTGTAGTTTTGCTTTGGATAGCATGCACAATGCGGAAAAGCGGTCGTGGAGTTTCGGCCGAAGGGTAAGCGAAGTCGTCCGAGCGCGCGCTGGTTCGGGCTATTTTTTCGGCCCAGGAGGAACATCAACCGGGCGGACTGCGCTTGAGGGCCAGCGGGGTGACCAGAACCCAACTATAGCAACATCCCCAGAGCGCGAATCTGCAGGGACACTGCCTTTGAGTTGGGATTGTTCCCTTTATAGATCACTGATACAGTACTGCAAACAGCCAACGCGATTCCGAAGAGGCTCCAGATTATATATACAAAATAACTATAACTTGGCTAGTTAGAATAAAAAATTTATGATAGAGTAAAGGACATAAAGAACAGCTTTGCCTAACGACAGGTGACTATAGAAAATGCTCTAAGCATAAGCTTAGGCACTTCCGGGTCCTGCCAGAACCGTTCTCAAGCATAGTTCTGGAAAACAACCTTCGATGTTAGGACTTTTAGGAGAGGAAAAAATATTAGAACTTTTCAAAATTGCTTTTCTGAGTTAGAATATGCTTGTGTCCAGTCCTATGTGAAATACCTCTCGATAATGAGTGTGCGCATATTGGCGCCTAATATGCGCATATGTCCGCTTAGCTGTCACTGACATCGAAATATTGCTGCGGGAGTGCTTCATCCTCATCAAGAGCTCTGCTCTAGTTTTGATGCAATAGTTTTTCAGGCAACACGCGGAAACGATTATCTTAGCACGACGGGTGGGCATATGCTGCATGGTTTTGCATTGATGCTTGCTCGTATCCGCTTGGCTTAATTGTGTTTGCAACAACAAGAACTGTCCCTCTATCGATCCGAAGGTATTTTCTATGGCGTCCCGCTCTCAGCAAAGTGCTCCCCTCAATTGTGTGCTAAAGTAGGACTCATTGATAAAGACAGAATGCACTGTTATGAACCTGCGGGGTTCTGTTACCCCAGTACTAGGTTCAGTAGAATTCTTCTCAAACTATATGCACTATCTGCAAGAAGAATGCCGCAATTCCTTCCTGTTACAATTTCCGCAGAGGACACTGCTAAGGAATACATGGTAGATTAATCGTGAAGTGTCAGAAGGGCAGAATTCCTTCACTCGCGAGAAGCGTTCGTTCCTCCTGGAAATCTAATCACCCAAATGAAAGGCTGCTCTAAAAAAACGTATTGCGCCCATATTTATACTATAAAAGTGTTTTCCATAATGTTTGAAGCTAATTTGATGGTTCCATTGCCTGTTGACGTAACTTTCCTCGCATAACTCGGCGCCACTATTTTTACGTACGAACCGTCCATTGCTAACTGAGTGAAGTACGGGGCCATTAGAACTTAATAAGAGCCAAACTCCTACTCACTGTGCATAAGAATGTCATTGGAAACACTACTAGAAGTGCATTAGACTCAACAGAATAGTAGTAAACACTTGCACTTGAGGATCTGCAACTCATAGCAACGATAGTGCTCACATAATATGATACTGTGAGTACGTTAGATTTCGAATGGTGCTGCGACTTGCGTTTGCGGCTTCCTCCAGAAGTCTAGATTCTTCAGTTTTTAGCTCAGCTTCAACCTAGCTTTCTGCAATAACCGAGCTTGCCGTCCGACTCTTCGTAAGATGAAAATTTTTGCAACTAACAAAGAACAATCAATTACGTAGATCTCACCACCTAAACCGCTTACTCCGGCAATGTGATGTTTGTCGGCAAAAGCTTTGGCGAGCGAATATGACGGCATATCCGCCTGTCCCTTTTTCTCTATGTGTGCCTACCTTGGTGAAAATTGAAATCCAATATAAGCAAGAAAAACCACTCACTTCTTTCTGTAGAAACCGCTAAGCCTTTTTGGTTTCATTCTTCATTCCTCCTCTGTGCTTTCTTCCAAGCGTATTGCGAACCCAAGATTTGTGATCTCTCTACTCCTATTATTTAGTGAGTTCGTGGACATTATTTTGATTACCTCTTGACAATAATCATCAATCAAAATATCTCGCAAAGACTCATGCTATTGGTTGAACTTTCTCTGAAATTGCTCTCTATTTTTTGAATAGAGAGCAATGAGTTTTTGATTCTTCGCCTCAGTTGAAACGTTGTTTCGGTCATTTTTTCAACCTCTTTGTTTGCGAGATCTGAATTTCAAGAATACTCCATATACGCAAATGAGAAATGCTGATCGACACTGAAGAGACCTTAAACTCATGTATTTGCAAAGAGAAAAAGAGGATATGATACGCGCATAAGTGAAAAAGAGACCCTAATAAATTTTGAGGGAGAATGAATCAATGAGTTCAAAGCTCAAACAAGACAAGAAAAGCAAACATTACAAAACATCAGTTATTCTATGCCCTGTCCACTTGAACAAATTTATGCGCCACCGTGATGAGCTGCTGTAATCGTATTCAGCTTGAAAAACGCAACACGCCCTTTTTTCCTTTCAGCAGCGCTTACAGTTATTGCTACAAAATGCTCTTCATCCTTTCTAGCGATTATGTTTGTTTATCAACATCTCCAGTTAGATTTCAATGCTTCCCAGGTTTCATACCGTAAGTTTGGGCGGCTAAGTAGTAAAGTGATAAATCAAACTAAGAAAAGAACTTAAGCCCGCCAACTTTGCATCAACAGTGGGAAACCATTTTATCAACAGCACTGCTGTACGTAATAAAATCGACTGTTGACTAATTGACTAATTGTCTTCTTGTTGACTAATTTCTCTTCATCTACTATTATTACTAGGTCTACCCCTCATCATAAAGTGGCACTAGCGTTGAAACTACGATGAACAGGCGAGTATATAGTCTGACACGGCCTCCCCAGCTGTGAAGAGTTGGACCTTTCATGCCCAAAGTAAGTGCCTATTTAATAACGGTTGTCAAGTAACATATTGTTAGAATCGCATTCCGAGATAAGAGACATATATTTGGAACTAGCTGGTTGCCCCGGTCTTACCCGAGACTTCAAGTTAATTAAGCCAACAGAACTTGTAAACTTACGCCTCTAGATTTCTTCTAACAAGCGCATAAAGCGCTTTCAGATTAATTGCCGCATCCTACCGACTTTAAGACTGAAGTGGACTTTACCGCCCCTGCTTACATGCTTATATGTAAAAATGATCGGTTGCCATGATGGCCCTTCATTTTCTTAGGTTTGAGTAAACAATCAATAAATCGATAGAATGGCCCGGCGAATCGCCGCGGAAAATAGCTCTAAACCACCGCCGGGGTCGAAAACATACGTGTGCGAAGTTTCAGCCGGATCGTTCAGTGGCGCGCGTTTCTATAACGAACGAACAACTAAACGAACATCCTCACAGACATTGAGTTTTTTATATATATAGATTAGATTCGAACGGATTCCAGAGATTATATTTCTAGCTGCAGCACACGATTTCGAAGCGAGTTATTGCTTTTTTATGCGCGAATTTGGCGTACTACTTAAAAGCAGCGGCTCGGCAGATTTTCAACTTCGGGGTTTTGACAAATTTGGTGCTATTCCGGCCCCCTGAATCACGATATGAATTCCCCTTAGCGCGAAAATGGGGAAACCCCATCTTTTGACCCCCCCCCCCCCCCCCTTGAGACGGGCGCGGACTAGCCGTTTTCCTCTGCCGTCAGAGACGCAGAATAAGGAGGTAGTCGCTTGGAAGGACTTGGTCGTAGCAAAGTATTCGTCATCCTAATGAAATTCACATTTGTCATCCTTTTTTGTTTAGTACAATTCATTCCTCTCCTTTATCGTTATCTTTGTTCAGGTTCAAGTGTGAGTAGAGAACTTTTTGTATTTCAGATCACCTATGAGCGGAGAGGGAAGTCTACATCGAAAGAAGATTCTGTAGCTGATTAGCAATAATCTGGTGGCAGTGCATCATCGCGTGTGCAAAAACTAGTTGCAGGATTTTGGAATATTATCTTTGTTCCGAGCTGGGTAATCTTTTGACTGCATGCATGATATGAGAAATTCAGGTTGCAAGAGTATCATATATGACCTCAAAATATCTTTTTTTTGCATTCTCTTCCATTCGCGCTTTCCATAAAGCTTTTTATGAGCGTTTTTTGTATTGGCTGTATAGGCAAGAACAGCATAACCTCTTCTCGATAAGTACCAGTGATTTTGAAACTAGTAGTCCCGAAGCTGCTCCTATCACGTACAAGCTTTTTGCTAGGACTTGTGTATTTCTATACTAGATATATTGTCAATTCAATGAGAAGAAGTTCGAGTTGTAAAGTAACCTGTGGGTGGCATTTTCGAGTCTTTTAGCCTCATCTCATCGCTTAATCTGTGTGATGTACAAGACTCTCATTCAGTTTACTGTTGTCGTGTGATAATGCTGCTTTCTCAACCAACTTGTCCTGGATCACACGCAGATTCGTCTTCCATGGTGCCAGAAATGGTGAGCCTGTGATTGTAACTCAGTGACCAGAAGATCTACTGGATTTTAGAATACACAAAAACTCTCAGAAAGTGTAAGCTTGGTTGCAGAGAGCGCTCATTGCAATGCCAGTCTTGGTCCAGGTAGGATAGCTTATTATTTTTCGTCCAGTCGAATATGACCACTGTTGCAGGTTGGCTACAATGTGCATGTAGGAAGGCGAGTGTAAGAAGCTACCAGGTACAGTCGTGCTCTTCCGTAGATATGATATATGTCTTTGTCTCGGTTGTATGTGCTCTCTATCTGTGTTTCTGTCATTTGTCACTTTCCTACGGAAATGATATTCTTGTTGTCATCCACTTATCGTTGATTTTTGTCATTAACACTGTTTGTATCTCTCATAGTCGCTTCCCTGATTCGCTACCGTTGTTGTATGTTACTCAGTTCATACCCGTCTGACTCCTCATTTCATTCAATGCTCGCTCTTGATGCTCAGAAATGCTGATAAAATTGAGACCTTTTTGTATTTTTCTTATAATGGGCTTGCTCGTTAGGGCGCTCTTACTTACGCTCTTACGTTCTGTTATAGATACTCTATCCAATGGAACGAAGCTATGACATCGATGGAGTTCCGCAAAACAGAAGCTGTGCACTTTTGATCGTTTAGATTTTTTCTTTATTTTCTTATTATGAGCTTCTGTTTTGCTTTTTATTGTTTATCATATCTAAAGTTTTCAATGTGATGGTCGCCGAGAGAAGTTGCAGTTTATGGCGAAATAACCAGACTAGCCACATTTAATCGCTCAGGTCATGTCTATTTCTTCAATATCTTCTACATCTTCTCCGTCTCTTGGCCGGTATCGTCCTGTGTTCCTTGGAAGTATTTTTTGACAAACTCCATGTAACTATCTGTCCGCCATATGTGCTCCATTGGTGTTTTTTCGACTACGATACTAGGTCTAGCTTTGAATTTACGATGTACAATGGTGCTCCGCTTCACCACTCTTTCCCCAGCGATCTCGGCGTTGCGAAGTGCGTTACGATGCAAAAACGTCAACTTTGCATAAAGGGCGTAGGTAGAGGGTGGCCTGAATTTGCACTGTTTGATGGGCTGCGTGATAAATTGCGTCTTAGATGTATGTAGCTACCCATAAGTACAATTTTCTTGGGCAGTAGAGGCAATCTAAAGAATTCGCTTTCACACTCGCTAGTTCCTCCGAAGGGACTGGAGAGTGTGAGATCCTTTTGGAATATCGTCTGCAGCACCACTTCCTTCAGTTTGTTATGGGCGGGGCTGCCTGCAATGAGAGTAGACATTCCTCTTACGGCATTAGGTGTGGGGTCATGTAGATTCCGTTAGTATCCCACTGTCAACATCAGCACTCTGGAAGTAATGTTTTGGTCATGTACCTGATGAAGGGGGTTTACCTTATTCCATTTGTGCACGTCAGAAACGTGATGTAGGCAGGTGTTGAACACGTGCTTATCGCCTCCCCTCTGTGAGCTGTCTCACCTACTTTTTGCGTAATACAGGTGGTTTATAATTTCGTGTATCCAGTCTCGCAACAGCTCACAATCCTTTCGTTTTGCCACCTACGGTAACCGAATTATGTCATGACGCGGGTACTTATTAGAATATCCTATCGTGCGCAGATTTATATCGAGATATCTTGCCAGATGCCAAATATCTAGGTGCCATCCTACGTGTTCCCCATATTCGGCGTTGTAGACCCTTGTCTCGCTACCGCACGCATTGCTACGATCGGTAGATATCAACCGAATGGGGATTTCTTTTGCTCGCAGCCATCGTAACCTCCTTCTAAAAACCTTCTTTTGCCATCCTCCCAGTGAGTCCATCTAAATGAGGTAGTCCGGACTTTTCATCTGCTGTTGTCAAATCTGCTAACCTGTCTCGGAGCGGTGCACCACCTCTTTGTGGATACAGAGTTTCGTTTTCGTATTTATAGCCAGTACCTTGCATAGTTCCGCGCTAAATCCTCTAGAATCAAAAGCGCCATCAACTGCAATATCCCATCCTGTAGGCTGTTCTTCATTCCAAAGATATTTCAAAGTCCCGCCCCAAGAGAAGAGAGGGCCAGCGAGCTAGCCGGCCGGAAAAAATCGATAAGATAATCCCTAAAAAATCGATAAGATCATAAGAAATCACTATAACGAACACGACATGACAAGTTATGCGCCTACACAATCGCATTATTGCGAAATTAAGCAACAACGACAAATGAGGTACTGGATTCAGATTCACCTAATTAAAGTTAACAGGGCAGAAATTTGAACAAACAAGCAAAAACCTAATGTAAGAACAGATAAATGAGAAAGAACATGCCATTCCAGCGAACACTTGGACACACCAAAACAATCATAGCGTTTTAAATGAAGCGACGAATTCGATTTGCGTCGTCACCAGCCGAAATCAATTAAGCCGCGACGCGCGCATAGCGCTCGGCGCACCCTGGCTGCACTGTAGCACTCATGCCTCAGACCACCCCGATGACATGTCAAACACGTCAAAACCTTTAGAACGTGAACTACTAGCACTCAACACTTTCAGATGTCAATCAACATGCTTTCCATCGTCTCCAAACGCTTACGCAAGAGATCCCGCTCTTCATCGTCATTCAGCTCTCGTCACACGCAACAGTCCCTGTGTTGTCTTGAGCTCGCTCTTCTTCATCTTCTTCTGCCTCTTCTTCTTCCTCTTCTTCGCCTTCTTTAATTCGTTCTCGTACTCCTACTCCTACTCCTCTGTCAGATACCACCATAACTTTGAATGTAACATCTCCAAACAATACTTCTTCTTCCGAAATGCCTTTCGCTGTAACCGCAACATCGGAATCGAATTCGATTGTATGCTATTCCGCTTCCTCTCATTTCCAAGTTAACGACTCTGGCATTTCCACAGACCCTCCAGAAGGAACCACTCCTTCCACAATAGCCATCAATATGCCAATACCAACCTCCCAAAGCTTTTCTCGCCGTAGAAGACTCCTCACCACACCCAAACCTCCTTTCAGAAGGATTTCGTGCACTCCCGCACAACGACAACCACGCAGCTGGGAGAAACCTCCCGGAACCATCCCAAGCTCAATCAAATCATGTTCTCTTAGAACTCCAGGGCCGTATGAACCTCAGTTCCATTATCGCTTGAAACACCAATATGACGGACCTCACAGCGACGCTGTTGCAACCCGATCAAGATACCTCTATGTCTTCTCCGCAATCAGCCTACTTATCTTAGGCTGGGTTCACACTGATTCCCATGTTCTGTAACTGACTCCGCACAGTTCTCGCACTGCGCTGGAACTGTGCGGGAACAGTTCCAGAACTGTTTGCATGCTCTGCAACCGCCTCGCAACGTTTTAAACGGCGAGAGTTGGGGAATTTTGACCGCTCTCAACGGATTTCTTTCAGATTTCTGCCATTTTGGCCTTATTCCTCACTCCGCTACCATTTTTGATCAGCAAAACTTCCAACTCGAAGCGGGGTTGAAGAATGAGCGCTTTTCTGCTTCATGTATTCGGAAAGATGGGCTTTCGTGCACTCACTCTCTCATTGCTATTTTTGTTCAGACCTACGTCTTATGTTCTAGTAAGACGCTGCGTAGTCTCGCATTTGTATTGAAATTGACATAGACAGGTCTCTAGAACACACGAAGTTGGACTGGACAAAAATGGCAGAGAAGATGGGCGAGCGCACGAAGATCCATCTTCCTGCATTTATGAAGCAGAACAGCGTTCAATTCTCAACCGAAGAAACGGGATAGAAGAAAAAACGGAGAAGCAACGATATGGAAAAACGAAAGGGCTGAGAACGCCCAAAATCCTCAAAAAGAGACAATCCCATTTCATCAGTTCCAGAATTGCTCCTGCTCCCTAATTCGTGGCAGATGGCTATGGAAACTACGCAGCAGATTCCTGGAACAAATGGATTAGATTTGAGTGAAAATCGAACGAAGAAAAATAGACGAGCACAAGAACACACGTTTTGTCGCATACGCAGAGCAGAAAAGCGCTCGTTTTTCAAGCCGCTTCGAATTTGAAGATCTGCTGATCAAAAAGGGAAGCGGGTTGGAAGAATAAGGCCAAAATGAGAGAGATCTGAAAGAAAAACCGTTGAGAACGGTCAAAATTCTCCAACTCCCGCCGTTCAAAACGGTGCGGGGCGGCTGCAGCACATGCAACACAGAACTGTTCTCGCACAGTTCCAGCACAGTGCGAGAACTGTGCGAAAACAGTTCCAGAACATGGGAATCAGTATGAACCCAGTCTTACGCGCTGCTGTCAATCACCCATGCCTTTCCAAAAAATAGCCCGCATACTTCTTCGAAAATGCAGGCTCTGCCTTCGCTGCCTCAAAAACCATCCTTTGAAAGAATGCACAGAAAACCCAATCTGCTTCCTTTGCAATGCCATCGGCCACGTTACCGCCATTTGCCAAGACGCACCTGTGAAATTTTTTTAGCCCTGGGGACCGGAACTTTCCGGCGGGGTAAGATGTAGGAAAAGCGCTAGCTACGGTAATGCGCTATTGGTCCCTGCACCCCTGCCCCGCCCCCGCTAACTATATAAGCGACTAAGTTCCGCCCCCAAGAGGAGAGAGAGCTTACGAGCTAGCCGGCTCCCATCCGGCTCAGCTGGCCCTACCACGACAGATAATCGCCCTCATTTTCATTCATTCTACATGCGCTCTCTCTATTAGGCTCCCTCCACATATGTTTCTCCATATTCTCAGTTTCTCTATGTCTTTAAGTTTTTTATTGGTATAGTACGAATTCCATTTCCTATCTTTGCTCTATCCTGCTGTACTGAGTCCTGCACCCTTTGTGCTGTCCTTGTCTGATAAATCCCTTCCTTCTGTTAATAAACCTTTGTTTAAAGAAGCTGTTATTATAAATTGGAAAGAATGCTGAAATGCGAAATTTGGTATTGGTACTGATTCAAAGTCACTTTTCTCAGTGGCCTCTACAATCTAGTTCTCATCAAATTGTTATGTGAGAGAAGAATATGTAAAATCACAGTCATCCTTATACCCGTCGTCACGGCATGAGTGCATGCCAAGTCATATCCGGCAAACTTCTTGTCATTCGGACGTTCAATCAGTTTTTCCTGTCCTTCCTACCGTCTCCGGGTTCCATCGATGCTATAGATGATGATGGGAACGGATCCCGACTTGACCAAATGCACTTCTCGCGTGCTTTCTTCGCATCCGCAACGATTCAGACAGAATCGATTTTGTAGCTGTTCTCTTGGAAGAAGAAGTACGCATTCAGCAAGGCGGGCCTTTCCTCTTTTAGTGGCTTTACGACCGTCTCTTCATCGGTATCTGATGTCGTGTGCTTTTCGGGAGAGAACCAGGAGCCACTTTGAATTGAAAGTGATGAAAAACAGTTTCTTGGGTTTCAAAGGAGGGTAGATCTTATCACTTTACTTGCTACGTATCAAATACCACATGAAACACTAAGTTCTCTGTCCTTTGTTTTTGCGATCAGCATACTCACTTGCATCCCGGTAACCAGTTCACCCACATCCACCCCACTCTCACTCTTACCCCACTTCCACCCACTTCGCCCAATGGGAAAAATGAGATTTTGGCTGCTCTTCATTCCATAGTTCCGAATATTTGGAGTGGATTGAAGTGAGCAAGGGAATAGTGTCTGCATTAAGTGCAAAAACAAGTAGTTGACTCACTTTTGGAACAAAGTTTGCTTGTTCAAAATTGACCGTCTCACTTGGGTGGCTCAACATTCGAAAACCTGAAAAATCGCTGAATTTTGCCCCACAGGAGTTATTTGGCATGCTGATTACAAAAATGACTCCTATTGAAGTTCTTGTTATGCTTACATACGTGTACGACGGTAGGCCACATTAATGCTAGTATTTCGCATAACAGACGTTATTGACGAATATCATGTTATTGCTAACACTTTATCACCTCGATGACACCCCTACCCCTCCTTCTCTGACCCCTCAATACGACTTCCGATGTGTCGTTCCACACCCCACGCTTGACCTTGAATATGACCTCTTATATGCCATTCAAGACACTTCTGCGACAGAATTGTGCCTCTGTAGTCATCTTTTGCCTTTTCTACCAGAACTTAGTTTTCTTAAATCCATTATCCATTCAGAACGTGTGGAAGCAAACAAGTTTTGTGTCCTCTTAAACACCGCAAAACACAATCTATCAGTTCATGTGGTACGGATGTAGAGTGAGTGCAGCGCTCTGCACCACCGTAATGTCTTTAACGCGGACCACTTCCGCGCGTGACAAAATCCTGCCGGCGGCTTCTACCCAAGCAAAGCACAGGGCTTCTTGTGTTTTTGCACAATGGAACGGCCGCCGTCCGGCACGATCTCTCGTCCGCTCGCTTGCAGGCATCAGGCCCCGCCCAAAAATGGTTCGGGCGCCAACCGGGAGGCCATTATTGTACGTTCGCCGGCCGGCGCGAATGTTTGAGAGAGTGCTATGATTATGTCTGAGTTTAAATGAGTGAGTTTGTGTACGGAAGAGTGAGGGGGGGGAGTATCGTTACGTGCGGGCTGCCAATTGGAAAACGTCGCGCACGACAGGCTGCCACTGACCGCACTCGGAGAATTCAGCCATGGTCCGCAGCACATAGTTCCTCAGTTTCTCATCCTTTATTGAGGTTCCAGACTATTCTTATATTACTTTACTCAATTGTTTGAAGTTCTGCCACAAAAGTTGTAAAATGAGCTGTTAAAGGACAAAAAGACACAAACTGAAGGAGGTAAAACACGAACAATATAGAAAAAGCATTGGTAAACAAGTGATATAAATCTGACAAGTTCTACATTGCTGTTTCCCCCGCGCGATTACTGTATCGCCGCGTTGCGACGTTTTCCATTTGGCAGCCCGCACGTAACGAGCGCCCCCAAGAGTGAGACATCTTGATTGCTTTAATTTCCTCGAAAATTTTGTAATTTGTGTGTCGTCTGAGTATGA